CTCAATGAACACAGTTAACTTCTGTTTATATATCTAGCTTTATAATTATTATTAATATCAAACTTTGTATAGGCAATTAACTAACAATGTTGATGCTAATTAGATGGTGGTTGGAGACAGTCGACAGGAAATCCTGGAACCGAGTTTCATGCTACTTGGCACTCGTCAGCAAGGTGCACCTGTAATCTTGAGGGAACTGGTGCTCCCTGATCTAATCTCACAATAGTGCATGTAGTGTCAAGTCACCTAGAATGGTGGCCACATTGCAACATGTTTGATAGCATTCGATTAGCACTAATATGAACTTGACACATATGACATTGATCACCACCCAGTGACCAATCAATTGTGGTCTGATGTTAGTCTTTACACCTTTTTAAAGAATAGCTAGTTGTTTATTAATCTATTGAATAACATAAATGCGAGATGTAATTTCGCACTTAACACAATTTTCCAACACAGTATTATTCCCTTTAAAGTTATATATATAACTTATCTCAAACAGTGATAGTGTGGCACAAATATTTTAATTTTTTTCCTTTTTCAGATCTTGAGTTGTGGTATTATTTAAAAATGTAATAATTCATCGATTTAATGCTCCCCTTTAAAACCTTACGCTCTATGTTAAATATTTATCTCATTATTAGCATGTATACTAATTTCGCATCTTTTTTATGATTGTTCGTTAATTTTCTTCTTGTTATACTGATATAATTGGGTAAGGTGTGCTGATACGTAATTGTTTTGTGGTGTGTGTTACTGATGTCGACAGATATAAGTAGTATGTATCATCAATCAAAAGTGAGATGTTTGGTGGAAAAATGTTAAAAAGAGAAGAGAAAAGAACGAGAACAGATGATGATTAGTGTGGAAACTAAATAACAGTCAAGTACGATACAAGTGATGGGTATTTACAAAATGAAGTATTTACTGTACGGTTCTCAGATTTTATCAAGTGATTCCGCAATATTGTGTTCAAATGCGTTTGGTTGTCCCCGCTTATGTTCTCGTTCTCGACAGTTTCATGCGCGCGGTTACTGATGACTGGCATATATATATATATATATATATATATATATATATATATATATATATTACTTTCTTACTTAAGCCTGTTACTTCTCGTGAACGAGCATACGCAGCTCACCAGCATTCTCCATCCAACTCTGTACCAAGCAATCATTTCCAGCTCCTTCCAGTCATTATTCATCCTATTCATATCTGCTTCTATTTCACGACGTAATGTGTTCTTTGGCATTCCTCTTTTTCACTTCCCTTCAGGATTACAGATTAGGGCTTGTCTCGTGATGCGGTTTGATGATTTGCGTAATGTATGTCCTCTCCATTTCCATCGTCTTTCCCTAATCTCCTCTTCATCTGGAAGCTGGTTTTTTCTCTCCCAGAGAAGTCTGTTTCTGATGGTATCCGGCCAATGGATATATATATATATATATATATATATATATATATATATATATATATATATATATATATATATATATATATATATATATATATATATATATAATCAAGGTGAAAGTTATAATTTACCTACATACTATCAGAACTTTTTTTCCTTTTGTTATTGCCTAAAAACTTTATGTCCAGTTTCATACATAAAATTATTAATAAATTACAATTATCATTTATATCCGGGACAAAAACTCAAATCTTTTTAGATACCACAAATTTAATCATAAAAATTTATCTCTCTGATAGTTTCTCCCTTCACCTGACCAGAAAAATTTAGAATAATATTACACTTCAGTATGATTCTAAGCAAAGGAGCGGAAATCATAAAATATAATGAATTCATATTATTCTATTTCAATTGTTATATTGTCTTTATTCAAATTTATAAAGGGAACTAACTGTATATAATATATTATTTTTAACTACACCTCTATCATATTTAACAAATTATTCTTAGACGACTTAAAATTTATACTTGAATGAAGAATATTCTATATATAAATCCTAAAAGTGGCTAGGTGAAGGGTAAAACTACCGAAGAGTTACATTTTCTGATTACATTTATAGTATCTAAACAAATTTCAGTTTTTCTCCCGGATATAAATGATAATTTGGTGTGGGTTACTTATATCCACATAAGTAGTATATAACGGTGGTCAGACATAGAATGTATTTCAGCAGTGGATCGATAAGGAAAAAGCGGAAGAGGAACGCAATTGTTATAAAAATGCATGGACAAAAAAATCTAAGACAATGAATTGATGTTTGCGACAGAAACGGTCAAGTTTGAGATGATGGTTTGATATTTTGCTAATTAAAGATTTACTATATGGTTCTCAGATTTTATTGAGATATTCTGTACTTTTGTACTCAAATACATTCGATTGTTCTCAATCGTGTTTTTCTTTCGCTACAATAATTGTAATTTCTTGTTAGTGTTATTACTAAGAAAAATTGACATAATTCTTGTAGGTATTAACAAAAGCCAATAAACGTATTCTGATATTATGTGTAAGTAAATGATAACTTACATGTTTATTATTTCTCTTAAGAAGTAAATTATGACATCATCACATAAATTGCAACTATTTAAATGTAAAACAACTGACTTTCACTTATCATAATGACATTAATTATGTGTACAATATAAGCTTTATACTTAAAAAAGAAATCAGCTAAATTATAAAGAACAATAAAAAAGATTCAACTGAATTACGTTAATGTGAAATTTTGTTTTTATATAACTAATGATAGTTTAATGATCAAAATTTATTTTATAGTGATATTCTATTTAACAAAATATTTGAGAGACAACATGTAAGCATTTAATAATATAATAATAATATTTTGATACGAATTGCTTATATTCTCAATAAATAACGCCATCAAATGCCCTGGTACGACTGAGAGTGGGGAGAGTCCGCTCTACCTCTCGAAATGCTCTCACATGGCCACGCGTATATAGCCTCTGCCAGGGAAGTCCTACCTACTGCCTTCTCGTGGCGGAAATGTTGTTTTCGAACTTGAGAGGACGAAAACCGAATATCTGCCACTTTAACTGGATAGGTGGATATGGAGAGTCCACCTAAGAGAGTTAGAAAACCCTGATTCCAAACTAATGGTGCACATGTGTTCCAGTATCCTGATGGAACAAATGGTATGTGAACCAATCATTGGTGATCGGCTACTGTATCACCTTACATTGCTCCACTGTCTTGTAGATCCGACCTTTAGGTCGAAGGCTCCAGGTGTGGCCCCCTAAGAAAACCACCTGCTTCGGTTTGGGCACCCAGGCAGTATCTCAGCCCTCACACAAACAAAATGACATTTGTGTGGCGCATATGTATCTGGTGCCTTCTTGTGTTTAAATAAACAAATAATAAATACAATAAACAACATATTAGCTTGTATCTAACATCGAAAACATTTTTGCTTGATAAACTATATTCTAATATGTGAATATGAGAATCATAGCAGTTAACTCTTTTCAATTCATGAGTTAAAATTTTCTCATATTTTTATTCTGAAGTGTTTCTAGGTCATATAAACCAATTATAACAAAGAACTTAAGTAATTGTTCTAAACATTGCATTTCATCGGGTGATGATTCTGTTAGAAAGAATCAGGTTTTTACTATTATTATTATTATTATTATTATTATTATTATTATTATTATTATTATTATTATTATTATTATTATTATCAGCTTTATTCAATATTATATTTTTGGGACAATATAGAATTCTCAGTACAAATTATTTCAACAAGTTTCCGTTTCTTTCTTCTTGATCGGTTCTGGCGATAAATATTGAGTGATCGCCAGTTAGATGTTAGCAGTTCAGTAAATGAACATCTGAATAATATGCATTCTTTTCGCTGTATATTGCCAACAACCACATTGTCTCTTATTGAGTTTTTTGTAACTTTGACAACGAAAGGTTGTACACTTTTCAGAAACGCAGCAGAATAGGTTATGCGATTAGTAAACATAATGATATATTAAAACAAACAAAAAAATAGATTACTTGTTGAAATATCTAGATGGCAGGAACAGGCAGCTCAGGTGCTCAAGCAGGCCGCTCTTTATAATGGCAACGTTGGAAAAGGTAATTCATTTAATAAACCAATTACAGAATTAACGGTTTAAAAGTAAAACCAGACTTCTTTTTGCAGCCAAATTATTACGAAAATAGAATATAACGTGATTTAGAACAAAGAATACCAGTAACTAAAGTAGAGGAATCTTTAAATGTTTTACTCTCTAATCTGTATGATTAATCCGTTTAACCTACATTAACATTTCATACAATATCATCAGTTCACTTTTCAAGAAGAAAAGAGTTTGAATCAATGAACTTATTGAAATTGAAATGATTTTTTTAAAAGAAAAAACTGATTAAATCCTGGCTAAATAAATCAGGCTGTTGATAAATTGTAGAGAGATTTTTATGTTGCACTTCGTTTTGATATATGCGTCAACAATGTTGTCAAGAAAACTAATAAAAGCTTCATGACTAAACCATCTAGTTTAGACAAAAAAACACCTGAAAAATAATGAGTACCTCTTGCACAAATTTTCAAACTACCTCAGACGCATTTAAATAATTTTTTAAAGTTTAATACATCTTACTATGTTCTTAGAATTTATATTATGGTTTTTGCTTCTTCATGGCTTTTTGTGATGTTGATGTAGTTCTGTTTGATCAAGCAACTTTTGTTCAAGTTTAAGCATCACAATGTTTTCGATACAAAATAATTTGACATTTCATTTAATAATCCACTTAAGATTACTAAAGCGGTAGAATCGAACTTATCCTGGATAATATTCTATTTAGACATACAGTATTTACTACATTCGTTACCCTTGATGTGCTACATATGTTACCAACATGAAATCTGTAAAAACTTTAGAAATTTTGAAGTGCTACATGTACTATTTAATATTATACGTGATAAACTAAGAAAAATAATTAGATGTAACACAATTTAAACAGGTAATTAATTAGATGTTTTCTTTTAATTTTCAGATATCATGTGTAACAGTGTTATACGAAGAACTGACCATGTTTTCATACTGAAGAATAACTTACAATCAGATTGATTAATTACAAGGAGCAGATATATAGATATCTCAGGAAATTTAATGTTTTCAGAAACAGAGAAATTATCAATCCAACATATTACAGATATCGACTGGCCTAATGGTCCACCAGATTTTTATGTAAAAGGATCATCTTACGCTGTTACCCAGAGTCAGCTACGAGAATTGGAAATAGCTTCAGGTTTGGATCTTGTAAACTCTACAAATATTATTTCACAATTACCACTTTATCAACTTCATGGAGAACCATTTCATTATTGGGCAATGATACTTTTAATATTTCCATTAGTTACCGTGTTTGGTAATGTGCTAGTTGTGCTAAGTGTGTTTCGAGATCAAAGTTTACATACAGCTACGAATTATTTCATTGTCAGTTTAGCTATTGCAGATATTAGTTTAGCGATAGTTGTTATGCCAGTGGCCAGTTGGGTTGAGGTAAGTCGGTGTAGAAGTTGATGTTTTGCATCCCAATCAATGTTAATAATTTGGAAGAAAAACTTTAATAGTGCATTTATGACTCCATGGTTTAACTCACTCACTTGGCAACTTTTGATTTATGCGGCTTTGCGTCACATTCTGGTGTGACAGATAGAGATACTACGCAGCTGTCCAACCCAAGAAGTCATGAATAGGTTCAAAACAACAGCTTTTAATTGAAAATCAGGCTCATTGTAAGTCAATTCTTCAGATAATTCTCTGAAAGTGGCCTACATTGGGTCACAAAACGTCCGAAAATTTAAAAACCTAGTTTTTCTACTCATTGGGATATTGCAAATGTATTACATTTATTAATAATAATCTACCCAATGCTTAATTTATTTGAAATTATCAAATCATTGTAATGATATCTACAAAATCATACTGTTTTAATCATTAGTTAAGGGCAAAAGTTTAGTGATTACCGTTATTGAATCGAAACGTGTGCGGCATAAATTTGCTAATTATAGGTAATTCATATATGAATGACGTTATCAGAGTTGGAGAGATTATAATTCATGGACCAACCAATCAGATTTACGACAACAGGTCTTGAATTCATTCTCTTGGCTGAGTAGAGTTTTGACATTATAGCTTATGTCAGTTCGTGATGAAAATCCTAAATCTAATTTTTGGCCGTAACTATCGACTGAAAATATCAATCCTAATTCCTCAAACTGCTTTATAGCACTCATTGAGCCGTAATATGTAGGTGGATATTCTCAAGTTATGTTTAGAGTTGCTCAAAGGCCGTCCATAAATTATAGTCTCATCACAGAGTTTAATTTGTGCAAAAAAAATACCTAAAACGAAGTAAAATAGACTGATTGGTAAATTACTTATGAAAAAGGCTTAAAACACATTGTTTGCCAGTGATATCATATTGTAAGCCAAATCATTTAATCATAATTAATTTTGTCTAACTCTTATAATCAATTGTCTTCATTCTTCCAAAAAGAAACAATTTGATTTTGTCAATGTCTGGTAACTTATTTTTATATGAATTAATACTTTCTCTCTATTTTGTTTTGTCTAGGCTAATAATGGAAAATGGCGCCTTGGTACCGTGCTATGCGATATATTTATTATGTTTGACGTACTTTTGTGTACAGCATCTATTCTAAATTTAGCAGCTATTAGTATGGACAGGTAAAATATGTCAATTATGATACGTGAAACTTAGACAACAAATTAATTTTAAAATGTTTGTATTAAACTGTTCTACTAGAAGGCACTGTTTTGATATCTCATAAAGCGTAAACATTAAGATTATTTATATGAGATAATTTTTAAATGTCGAAATATAGGCTGAATATCGCGCGCGAGACTGATAGGTCCTGGGTTCGAATCTCGCGGGGGGCAGGATTGTGGATGCGCACTGCTGAGGAGTCCCATACTGGAACGAAATGGCAGTCCAGTGCTTCCAGGTTTTCCATGGTGGTCTAGCTTCAATTGACTCACGATTTCAACTGTTGAAAGTAATATTTATATTTATATACGAAGAATATCAAGTCAATCATGGTAATTTATGACTCAGTATTAACAGCAAAATAAGTCATATAACTAACTATAATAGGTAAAAAAAATACAAAATGATAGCACGATGATGGGTATGGTAGTCATTAGAAGAGTAATAAACATAACGATAGTATCAAAAGTATTTTGATACATAGAAAGTAGGTCAAAACATATGTAAATAAATTATCAAAATATAATCAACATGCTAAGTAATCATTGTGAATATGCAAATAGTAAAGTATTGATAGGAAATAGGTGAAGAAATACTAGGTCAGAAAAACGTAATAGGATAGCTTAGTAAATTTTCGTTGATCAATGAAAAAACAGAAACAAAGCAAATATCTTCTAAATACAAAAACTAGTGTTGTTGTCTCATAACCTTATAGTTCGAACTACATATAAGAGAGATCGAACCCCAATCAGTAAAGGTTGGGGTCATCGGTAATTTCTTTTCATTATTCTAGTTATATTTACTAAATGGTTGCCACAGATCCACTGGGATCAAACATATTTGCTGATTAACATTGTATAATTCATTTTTAAACCACGAAAGGATACAATCGCCAACTTTGTCCAAGTTGTCTGGTAGTAGTCAGTATATAGCTTTCTCTGCTTGAGCAGCTAAATTTGTAAATACATATCAAACAAACAAAGCTAGTTAACTTATTCTGCATATCAGAGTAAATTCTGATGAAGAAATAGATGTAGATAATGTTGCTCAATTTAAATATTAGGCATTTTCGAAAGTGTAAAAATGAAAGTACTATTAGATATAAATCATGAATATGTTGTTTGAATAATGCAATCAAACTTAAGGAGCTTCTAATATATCAATTTAACATGATAAACAGGCAGTCCTTTTGGTCGAAAGTTTGAAATTTAGAAGAATGTCTCTATGTGAACATTTTGGCGCGATCGCGTTACACGTACTTACTATATGAGCCATAAATTATCTTAATATTAATTACATAAACCACGGTAGATGGAATTTACCACTTCACTGTTAGAATTTCGTCCACCTGTTCAATAAATCTATCCACTGGCTCTACTTACCTTCCTCACTTTTATTACCCTTATAGCTTAAACATCTTAATATCGAAATGCAACACCACTGGTGAAAATTATATATATATATATATATATATATATATATATATATATATATATATATATATATATATATATATATATATTAGTACAGTTTTTGTATTCAATTTCCTGTAGATATGTGGCCGTGACTAGACCGATTACATATGCTCAGCATAGTAAAAATGTTCGCGTTGGAATTACCATAACAGCCACGTGGATATTATCATTCGTAATTGCATTACCAATAGCATGTGGATTAAATAATGCTCCATATCGAAATTTAGAAATGTGTGTTATGTATATTCCGGAATATATAATTGCTTCCTCTATTGGATCATTTTATGTACCATGTACAATTATGATTGTATTATATTACCAAGTATTTAAAGCAATTCAATTAAGAACTAAACGATCCAAATTGATAAGCATACGTAATCAAATACAAAAATATGCAAAACGTTGTGAAACAATGAACCAGACATCTGTTATATCGGTCAAAGATAAAGAGGTGGATATATGTGACAGTTTAGAAAATGTAACATATTTAACTGCAATTAATCCACAGGTATGTGATTGTCAGTCAAGTGGTATTGAAACATATATTGATTCAAATGTGTCTTATTGTACAGAGAATCATCATGCATATAAAGCAAATGATATAAATGATCAATATCTAACAGATATTAATGGTACATCTAATTTATCTAGTAACTGTTCCCCTATTACTTATTCAGAAACTATAATAAATACAGTGGAACCTAATGAAACCGATAAACTTCAACCGACACCTATATTAACCAATGATGAATTTTTTAAGAATTCTTTTGAACCTCAAATTCCACCACCAACTTTAACACAAGCATATACAAAAGCTACAAATAATAACGTTATTACCACTACCACTACTACTACTAATGATAATAATAATAATAATAATAATAATAATAATAATAATAATAATACTAACAATAATAGTGATATACCAAGCTCACAGCCAGAATTCAAAAATATGGATGATTTTCGTAAACATTTAAAAAATCGCATTAAACAAGCAAAACGTAGTAGTTTATCCATGCTCACAACTAATGTATTTGCAGGTTTATCTAGTAAACAAGTGTATGCATTGAATACAAACATTGATGTAAAAAAACCGACTACAAATAGATTTAAATCATCATTATCATCTAAACGACAAATTAAACGTATGAAATCACTTATTCCTTATGATACATCTAAATCACTGAATGAACAAACTAATGAACAGTTATTGAAAAAATCAATTTCTAAAAATCCTAAAAGCTTCATGTCTAGTGACGTTAAACATGAACAATTAAATCCGGAAGTAAACTCATCTAGTAGTATAATCAATATGACTTATTTTTTAGCAAATAGATCTGGAAGTAATCTAACTTTAAAGGAAAGTTTAGCTGCTAAACGGGAAAAGAAAGCTACTAAAACATTAGCTATTGTTTTAGGTAAGTAGTTTAAATTATTTCAATCTTTCTAGATGTATTTTGTATTTCCTTTGTAATAGTACATTTGGACATGATTTTTTTTCGATATTACGGATCCTCTTTAAAAAAATAATAACAATTACGACATGAAGTAAAAGTTCTTTCATTGAATCGGAGTTAAAATTCTTATTTATGACAATGGTAGAGGTTTGTTTGTATGATCATTAAAAATTTTCCCAAAATGAATAACGTAAACACACATTTTTATTTTAGATTTTCATAGTCACAATCTAAATATATTTGAAGAATAAACAGATTTTCATGTGAAAATTGAAATTTTATTAACATGAGAATACATCATCAAGCATTTGAGGGATTTCAACGTCACAGCATCAACTTCAGTAATTAATAGGTATCATTACCAAAGTTTAATTGTATAATTTCGAGTAAATTGAGCATTGGGTAGATTTTTATAAATAAATGATAATATTTGTAATATCCCAATAAGTAGAAAAGTTAGAATTTCTGACGTTTCGTGACTTAGTGTTAGCCACTTCTTCAAAGAACAAATAACCAAATTAAAATTAATCCAAGTTTAAATAGTACAACGGAACAATCAGAATAGTATGTGATCAATCAAAAGATCCCGCTAGCCTTAAGTCCTTTTAGAAGAGCTAACAAGATCATCACATCAGAAGAAGACAAACAAAAAGAACAAAAGAATGTAATTAGTATCTTACAATTCAATAAATCTCATATGAAGATTATCAGAAGTATATTAAAACAAGACGTTTCAGTGAGTAATAATAATAATTCGAATGAAATGCCATGAACTTGTACTGAAGTTTCACCATACTGTCATGGCACAACAGAAGAACTCCAAAGAATCCTAAAACAACACAGAATTAAAGTATATTACAAAACAACGAACACACTTCGAAATACCTTAGTTCGCTTAAAAGAAAACATCCCTTTCATGTCTACACAGAACTGCGTCTACAAATTAGGTTGTATCGATTGTGGTGCCTTCTGTTATTTTGACTAGAGCCAAAGAACATATAAGTTACACAAAGAAACCTCCTAACAATCCCGTAGAACTAGATAAACTTCAAATTACATCGGCATTAGCAGTTCACGCCATTTTCAAAGACCACCAAATTGATTTCAAAAATATCAAAGTATTGCAAAAAGGCTTTTCCAATTACAGAGAAAGGAGAGTAGCTGAAACGTTCCATATAATGCTTAATCCTACTTCTCTCAATAGAAAAGAAGGCCTTACCATACATCCTACTTGAACTATCTATCCTAGCCACCTAGTCTGATTTTATTTACAATCCACACTATCCTTCCTCACCATAAAGTTCACACAATTTTTCATCCTTAAACAGTACATACATTCATAAACAAAAATTTACATACATGTCACTTATGAATCGCCTTGACCGAAATAACATGACATTATCTTGTTCAGACCTGTTTTTTGGTTGATCACATATTATTCCGATTGTTCCGTTGTACTATTTAAACTTGGATTAATTTTAATTTGGTTATTTATTCTTTGAAGAAGTGGCTAACACTAAGTCACGAAAATCTAATTTATCTACTTATTAGGATATTACAAATCTATTATTTATTTATCCAGTACTTAATGCTAACATCGGCCTGTTCACAGAGGATTTTTATACAAAACGTGATAATTGAGCGGCTATAACAAATAAAACGGCGGGGCTATAATTTGTGGACGAATCATTTAACTGAATAGAGTTTTTGCATTATAGCTGATGTCATTTCGTGATGAAAACCCTATATATAATTCCTGACTAAGGCAAATTATGATAATTATTGCGAACTGGATAATAAAAGCACCAGTAACACTGGCTGTAGTCAGGTGCTACAATGTATACGGATGATTGAAGAGCGTACAGACTCCTATATAGGCTTGGTTATGTGGCATTTTATGTACTCAACAACCGGAGTGCACACAAACAATATTGAAGCTATGTTGTCGAGGCTGACCTTATCACGGTTCCAGATTCCGGCTATTCTGTAGCCATATGGATGATTTTCTCTACTGTATGCATTACGATTTTAGAACCTCTGAACCTCTTTCTAAACTTGACAAGTTTTTGAACCATGTACAAAAAGTGTATCCACTTTATTTCTTTAGTTTTGTAAAATATATTTTTACTCCATATTGACTCTTTGCTGATTGGCTAATATCTCTCAAGGTTACTTAAGATTCATTCAAAGGTCGTCCATAAATTACAGTCTTGACTAATATGTATATAATTAAATTCATTATTAAAAACAAAACATCATGTCAATTTTATGATTTCAGAATGTTCACAAGTATTATCAAAATATTAATTACAGTTTTTATACCTCATGTTCTACATAAAATAATTATAGTTTTCACATTATTATTAACGAATCTATTGTTGAGATGATAGAGATTTGTAGCTGAGGTGAATCATTTTGATAGAGTTTTATTCTCTGAGCTGATTGGTTTGGTCACTAGACTGATAGGTCCTGAGTCCGAATCTCATGAGGCGGGCTTGTGGATGCGCACTGGTGAGGAGTCCTAAACTGGGACGAAACGGCCGTCCAGTGCTTCCAGGTTCTCCATGGTCGTCTAGCTGCAATTGACTCATGAATTCAACTAGTAAATTACTATTTATTCATATCACTCATCAACAAGTCTGTTTTTTGTTATCAGTTCATTTATAAAATAGTTTAAAGTATTCATTTCTTTTCTTGTCATTACACTTAATTTGAATCTGAAATTAATCGTAGGCTTTTAATTCAATTGTTTATCATACTGTTCAAATAAATATTATATTTACAACAAGAATATGGATTAGGAAAATATTTGAATTAGAAGATTTTCAAAACCATCGACTCAGTAAGTGTTAATTATAACACTATCTGTATACTAAAAGCGAATTGAATAAGTTTAATCAACAATTTAATGAATTATATGTTGAAATATTTCATCTGTAATATGAAAGGGAGCATCTCTGAGGCTAATGCCGGCTCCATGCCCGGATAAGGGGGAAGGGTTGGGCATACAGTTAGCGACCCCATTCCGTAGAAAACTAACGCGCTAAAAAACGCTAACCAGAAAAATGAAAGGGACAATATTTCCTACAATAAATTCTTATCAGGTTGTTCACCTATATGCTGAATCTAGTAATTGAAAGTCCCAGTGAATTTTAAGGTAAATTTAGTTTAAATAGTGGAGTTTATTAACATACAATTGTTAGTAAATGTTAAAATGGTTGGGATGAAGTCTAGAGATGAATACGATTCAATCACAGAAATTAATACAAGTAACGTAAGATAGGAGGAATAATATTGATCGTTAAATTGAATATCCGACTACCAATCACTTAATATATGCTAAAAAAAACGTTCATTCGTTTCATGTAAATGTAAGTCGACATTGTTATATTTCATAACGCAGTCCCTTTAAACGTCTAAAGAATTCTTAGACAAAGTGCTTATGGCAGATTACATGCAACGCGGTAGACTATGAAAAATGATTGATCTATCGATATTTGGTTACATTTATATCTCCTTGTCTTATTGTGTCACATGCGTTGGTCTGTAAATGTTTATTTGCGGTATTTAAATAAAAAGGTTGTGTTATGGTTGATTAGGGTAAACTCTTTGTAGTATGAATTGTCCAAGTAATTAAAATTTCTGCTCAAAATCCTTTAATAAGTGACAGTTACAAATCCCAAGCTGCAAGTAATTTTTAGCAAATATTACAGTTCTCTTTTTTATTATACTATACCGAACAAATTCATGACTTCAAGGGTGAATTATCAAATAATGGCTTATTTCTTGAATAATTACCTTCAATCTATTATCTGTAGTTAGTAAACATGTTACCTGTATCAACCTCGATCAGTTAAAAACATTATTCGACGTCACAACTGATTGATCACTGGGTGTTGATCAATGTCATGTGTGTTAAGTCCTTATTATTAGTGCAGATCAAATGCTATCGACCATTATGCAGTGTGGCCACCAGTCTAGGTGACTTGACACTGCGTGCACTATTATGCGGTTAGATGGTAGTTGGAGGTAGTTGACAGAAAACCCTGGACCCAGTGACCAATCAATTGTGGTTACACCTCAGTCTTACAAGAGGTTGGTCGTGACCCGGATAGCTCAGTGGTAACGTCTCTGAATGTGAAGCTGGGTGACACAGGATCGAATCCTTCAGGGAGCACCAGTTTCCTCAAGATTACAGGTACACTTTGCTGACGAGTGCCAAGTAGCACGAAACCCGGGTCCAGGGTTTCCTGTCGACTACCTCCAACCACCATCTAATCTCACATTATTCGAGGTACCAATGAATACTATCTACAAATATTTTGGGTAAAGTGAATCATCCTATTAGTTTAGTTGAAATAAACTCTCCTTAAATTAACTGAATAGAAAAACAACATTTTCATTATGAAAAATCGATTCACTATGCTTACCAAAATACAAAAAGTGTAAAGTTTTAACAACCATTAGAGAAATTTTATAACTTTAGCCATGGACATTACGTTCACAAGAAAACTATAGACAGATCCAACAATAAATAAAGTTTTAAGTAAAGACATAGAAATTCACTATGAAATTTAGAAATAGAAAAAATGCTCATTTATGTTGGATCACAATCAAAGATGTAAAAAATAATTTAAACCAGGATCAACTGATATAGTATAAATCATTCAAATGTAATTCGATTCTAACCTAACTAATTTAAGCTTAATACCTAAATAATTAAACCACATCATTGGATCAATACATTTGTGAATCACATGGTAAATTTTGTGACAGTTATATATTAAGAATTTAGAGAAGAAATATATTTTTCCTCCTACTTTTTAAAACATGTTACAAAAAATTTCAGATAATAAATAGAACAAGATTTACAACATTGATATAACCAAATAATTCGTAAACAAAAGTCATTAAGTTATTATTTTGGACGGTGGATTAATTTCGTGGATTGTTTAAAGTTA